CCTTCCTCTTCTTCATTTTCTTTCTTTGGGGCTCAGAAAATGCTCTTCCTCCTCCTCCTCCCGCTGCTGCCGGAGCTCCCGGGGCTGTGAGCAGAAACCTAATGAGCCCCGACCGCCTGGTTATGTAACTCCCCCCGCTTAAGGCTCCAGCCTGGAACCCCCAGCGCCAGGGCTCTGCGCTGGGGCAGCTGCTGGGCTCGCCTCCCCGAGAGATCGTGGTCCTCTTCCAATTAAAAAACCCAAAACTAAGTTAGAAACGATCAAGCCGATTTGTTTGATCAACAGCTCGTACCCAGGATCGGTTCAGTGGCTTAGAAAAATCCATAGCGTCTGCCCGCTGCACCTTGAAAGGATCATTCCATTCCTAAAGGACATGGGGGAAGGGAAACAAAACAGCTGGATTAATAAATCATTTTTAAATGCCCCTTTTAACCACCCAATCGGCCTTTCTATACTGATCGTGTCCCTTTTGTAAATATCTTCTGTTTGCCCTTGATCTTTTCCTTATCCCCACCCAGTGCTGATCCAGCAAACGTTTAAAGGTCGCCTTATCGCGCAGGCTTTCAAACTGTTCCCGTGCCATGTTGGGGAGAACGCAGCTGGCTTGGCAATAGGGTTCCAGGCTTGGAAAGGACATTATTTGGAGCAAAAAATAAAAAAAAACACATGAAATTCACACCGTTAAAGGATTTTGATCCTGCCTCTGATTAATCTTCAGTGACAGCTCGGCTGACGTTCTGTTCCTGGCGATGCAGTGCAGAAAAGCACGCTGTTAATTGAAATTCTCGTTGAGTGTTTAACTTCAGCCAAAAAACATACAGATACCGTTTCATCGGAACTTTTTGAGCCAAGGGGTCTCCTGTGGATGAGTACCTTTATGCCGAGGCACTGCAGGATTTTCCTTAGCAGTGCGTGTGCTGATGCTCGATTCCTGTCCCTTTTTTAACTCCAGATAGCCAATTTCTCTTTTGTCCTTTGTGAAGGAGCGGCAACCATATTTTATATTAAATGTAAAATGGAGTCGTGGAGAAGGAGAAAAGCAATCATTTTTTTGAGGCTGACAAAAGCCCTCTTAGCTCTAGTAACTTTTGGAAATCTGGACTGTGGATAACCCGCGACATGAATTCAGTATATGTGACTATATTGCATCTGATAATAGAGAAGAATTTGTAGAAAGGGGAAAAAAATATGAATTAATTTATTGTAATAAATTCACCGCCGTTGCCACCCTTGTGACAGGAAGATACACACATCGTTTTTGTGTGTGCTGACGGCGTTATCGGGTTAGCTGTTCCGAGGAGGAATTGTACACGTAGAGCGGACATTTTCTCCTCGCTTAGCATAATTTTGCCAGCGCACAGTTTAGGCGTATGATTGGCTGGGCCTTAAACGTTGCATAATTTCTAGCTATTCGTGTGAAATCTTCCAAAGCGAGCGTTAACATTTTTTTACAGTTCTGGAGCTTAGAGGGCAACCAGTATGTTTGCAAACTTTAAAATGGTAAAGGAGCCTTGGACTAAGACCTTGCAAGCCGGGCTAATAGTCTGGTGCTAAATTTTGCAGCTGAGTACTATAAATCATCTAAACACGGGTCGGTAAGTGAACCCTTGGCAGGCCTGGCAGTTCTGTGATGGCTTAGAAATTATCCTTCTGCTCTGTGAATAACCAAAGGACGAGCTCATGTGATTTGGCGGTGCCCCGTGCTGTATATGTAAACACATGCCTGGCCCATCTTCTGCGGTATTGTTCGTAATGCACCCTGAATGTAGTTGACATCCCTCAGGCATGAACATAAATAGCTTGGTGCACATTTTTTTGACTTAAAGTAACCTGTTCTGTGCAGAAAGTGAAGCTGGAAGAATAGGCCTTGCAGCTTGATCTTACGCTTTCCTTATTTGGATGTGTTTGCTTTTGTTTTTTCTTAAAGGAACAAGAGCACTCAAGGTGAAGGATAATAATCAACTAGAATCAGCACTTTGAATGAAATTTTGTTTCCCTGTGGCATCTTGAACGCTTTCTTCTTCGGGTTTTGAAAGAGACTTATCACTTTGTGGCATAGCAGCTATGCAGCTTGAAATCCAAGTAGCACTCAATTTTATTATTTCGTATTTGTACAATAAGCTTCCCAGACGACGTGTCAACATTTTTGGTGAAGAGCTTGAAAGACTTCTTAAGAAGAAGTATGAAGGGCACTGGTATCCAGAAAAGCCATACAAAGGATCAGGGTTTAGATGTATACATATAGGGGAGAAAGTGGACCCGGTCATAGAACAAGCATCCAAAGAGAGTGGTTTGGACATTGATGATGTTCGTGGCAACTTGCCTCAGGATCTTAGTGTTTGGATTGACCCGTTTGAGGTTTCATACCAAATCGGTGAAAAGGGACCAGTGAAAGTGCTTTATGTGGATGATAATGAAAATGGATGTGAGTTGGATAAGGAAATCAAGAACAGCTTTAACCCAGAGGCCCAGGTGTTCATGCCAATTAGTGACCCAGCATCTTCAGTGTCTAGTTCTCCTTCTCCTCCCTTTGGTCACTCTGCTGCTGTGAGCCCAACTTTCATGCCCCGCTCCACTCAGCCTTTAACCTTCACCACTGCCACATTTGCTGCCACCAAGTTTGGCTCGACCAAAATGAAGAATAGCGGCCGTAGCAACAAGGTCGCCCGCACCTCTCCCACCAACCTTGGCTTGAATGTCAATGACCTGTTGAAGCAGAAAGCCCTTTCCTCCTCCATGCACTCGCTCTACGGGCTTGGCCTAGGCAGTCAGCAGCAACAGCAACAGCAGAAGACTTCTGCCCTGTCTCCTAACGCAAAGGAGTTCATTTTCCCCAACATGCAGGGTCAAGGTAGTACCAGTAGCGTCTTTCCTGGTGACAGCCCCCTTAACCTCAGTCCTCTCCAGTACAGTAATGCCTTTGATATGTTTGCAGCCTATGGAGGTCTCAATGAGAAGTCTTTTGTGGATGGCTTGAATTTTAGTTTAAACAACATGCAGTATTCTAACCAGCAATTCCAGCCAGTTATGGCTAACTAAAAATAAACCGAAAGTGAAACGCAAGTAAATCCTATTGTACAAGTTAAAAATGCACGTACCCAAGGGTGTATCTTTTTTTCCACCTCTTGAGATTTTTTTTAAGGCTTGTAGTATGAATACGTTCAAGCTTGGTTAGATAAATACAACATGCATCATTTTTTCATTTGCCAACCAAGCACAAAATTATTTTATACTGACTGTACATTACAAAAATATACTCTCAAAATATGGCCTCTTACAGTATTTAAGATATAGCGAGGACGTGGCTGATTTTTTTCATGTGTGTATATATATATGTCCACAAGCATATATGTATATATATATCAAAAAATTGGCACTAATAGGTGGGTTTATTGGTCTTTTTCTAATTGTATAATTTAATTTAGTACAAAGTTTGTAAAATATCAGAGTATATATATTGTTTCTACAACATGGTATTGCATTTATATCTTTTTACTACAGTGATCTGTGACAGCTGCAGCAGCTTCATGTTGTATTTTTTTTACTGAAATTGTAAGATATCCATCTTAAAGACATCAATTCTAAAAAAAAAAAAAAAAAAAAGAAAAAGTTGTGTACAGAATATTCCTTAGTGGTGGAATTAAAATGTACGAAATATTTGCTTTTTTCAAAGGAAACACAAATTGTATTTTCTGTTAAAAGTTTAAAGATTTTTGCTATATATTATGGAAGAAAATGTAATCGTAAATATTAATTTTGTACCTACATTGTGCAATACTTGAAAAAAGGTATAAAAGTATTTTGAGTCAGTGTCTTACATGTTAAGAGGGACTGAAATAGTTTATATTAAGTTTGTATTAAAATTCTTTAAAATTAATTGACTGGTGTGGGGTGTGTTCTTACGGCCGTGCCGAGGGTGCCGGTGCGCTGTGTTGGCAGCGCTGACGCTGCAGAAGGGTCTGACTCGCTGCCTCGCCAAGGAGCCCTGGGAAGGGTGGCTGTACCGATGCGCCGCAGCAATGGGTTGCTTTGCCTCAAATCCTCCTGACCCAGCACGTCGCCCGATTCGGTGCTCACCCACGATTATTTCAGCAAACGTTGGCTTTGTTTTCCGCTGCTGCGGCTCGCTGATGCCGGAAGGTAATTTTGGTTTGTGTTCCTTGGGAGTTCCGGCTGTGAGCTGGGGGATCGTTGGGGATCTCTGAGGGGCTCGGGGGATTCAACCAGGTTCACCTCCCGTGCCGTGAGGGTGGATTTGAAGTGCCCTCTGGAGAGGTCCGTGACCAACGCGTTGGCGTTCTGGGTCTGTGTTGGGGATTAGTAGCTCCAGCCAGGCTGAATAGAAGTGCTGATGGGTACTTTTTGGAACTCGCTGTAAGCTTTCACTTTATATGCTCTACTGAGAAATGTAGTGCAACTGCAGTGTGCCATGGGAAGGTTCTTACTTTAGTGGATTTTACTAATTTTAACTTAATAGATACCCAAACCCTGACTGTGAGTGGGAGGGGAAATCAATCAGAGGCTGACAAAACCACTCAGCCTTCCCAGGGCTATTCTGAAGTTTCATCCCTTACTCTTTTCCGTCTGTTTGGCAAATAGTGTTCCTTGCTCGTGGACATCGTCAAGGGGAAGAGAAGCTTCCTTGAATCTGTAAATCTAACATACCGACTTCTTTTCCGTGGCAGTTCCCGTGGTACAAAGAGAAGATGCGCCGAGTGGATAGCCCTTCGGCTCGTGACGATGAACCGTAAGCTACGGGGGAAGTACAGGATTAAAATTACCTGAACTTCAGCATTCTGACACTGGAATTTGAGGCTGCGGATGGGTCTTACCCTGTTCGAAGCGCTTGATTTACAAACGGTGTGAATTCCACCCCGGGTTTGCTGGGAGCGGAGTTCTGGCGGAAGCAGCCTCGTGGCTGTGTGGCAGGTGGTGGTTTTCAGCACCAGCGTGAGATCTTGGCTGTGGAGAACTGGACGGGGCGGAGGGGTGTGTGGGGCTGGCGAGGGTGCCCAGTTCTAGTGTCGCGGCACCGATTCAGAAGCAGTAACGGGGCGAATGTGGTTGGGGGCGTTCATCGGTAGGTAACTGGCTCCTTCGGACAGTTTGCCCTCCAGTTTCTCTTCCCACTAACGGCACATCAGCGGGCAGAACCGTACTCAAAAGGGCATGCTTTGGGATCTACTTCCGAGTGACTGATTTGCGTTAAAAAGGAATTCTAGAAAAGTTAGAAGAAAACACTGGATCAGTTACCGGGAAGCAGAGAACGTTTGCTCCGTGTATTATTTCTGTTGGCGTGCCTAGGCTTTGGGCCTTAGTGCAGTTTTACCATTTACAACAGTAATTCCTAAACTGCTCAGGAGGCTGAGTGGCTTGGAGAGTGGAGGCTGTGCTACTAATGCCTCTATTCCTGTGACTTCAGCTGAGATCACAGAATCACAGAACGGTTTGGGTTGGAAGGGACCTTAAAGACCGCCCCAGCCCCACCCCCTGCCATGGGCAGGGACACCTTCCACTAGACCAGGTTGCTCCAAGCCTCATCCAGCCTGGCCTTGGACACTCCCAGGGATGGGGCATCCGCAGCTTCTCTGGGCAACCCGATCGTTTCTCGTCCCGTTGCGCTGTGTTCGCGTCTGCTGTCACGAGCTCAGCGGGTGAATGGCAGCACTTCACAGCGCCTGAGAATCTCTGGAAGCGAGGTGTTTTTTTGCAGCACCTTTTAACATAAAGACTTGAACACGCCGGGTTCGTTTACGGGGCTTTGCAAGGAGATGTTTTGTAGAGAGAGCTTCCAGTTTTCCCAAAGAATGCAAAGATGAAGATTTTCGGTGTTTTCTCTTTCTCCTTACGGAAATTAAAGATGTGTGCTTTCCGTTCAGTCGGCTTCACCCGTTCGTTTATCTTTTGCTCAAGTTTGGTGCTGAATTTGTTAGCTCAAACATTTACACTGCAACGTTCTGTTTGAAATGAGTGCCAGCTCGGCCTCTGGTTCAATTTGCAGGCACCCGCGTGCGGCTCTTGAGCCGTGCTGTCAGGTGAGCGCGTCCGCTCTGAGAGACGGGACCCAAAACGGAGCGAAGGGGGAAAAGGAAGCGTTGTGCTCCGTTGTGCAAGCTCTTTTGTCACATTTTCTCTTGTGAACATGCAATTTACTTCCTTAAAATGGCCAGCGTAAGTTTAACCTTGGGAGACGACTTTAATTTACAGCCAAGACGAGGGCAGAGTGTGCGTCCCGCTCAGCGCTGCATCCTGTCTCCCCGCTCTGAGTCCCCACCCAAGCGCAGGTTCGAGGCCCTTCCATCTGCAAGGCTCGCTCGCTTCAGCACAAGGCAGTAGGTTCTGAAAATCGTGACCTCTGTGCGATGGAGCTGAGGGGCACCTTGGCGTGGCAGAGTGGGGAGACTCCGTGGCCGGCTGCCGGCTGCGCGGCGTTTGGTCTGTGGGGAGGTGACAAGACCTGACTCTCGCTCAGAAGCCTGGTAGCGGTCACCGGAATCAAAGTGGTTGTTTCTGCAAAGGAGAGCCCGTTCGCAGGCCGAGGTTACGTCCCGTCGTGCTTCGTCGCTGCGTCACGTCCTCAAGGGTCCCCGCTCAAAGGGAACGCGGCGGGCGCGGGCTGGCTGGCGCCGGGGTCTCGGTGAGTACAAGTTTTGTGGTTCTCCTAAGTAACACGTATTTTGTATAATGTGTACAAACTGAGGGCTGGGTGTAAGCTGTCCCTCCTTCACCACACATCAGAAAGCTATTAAACGTCGCACGACGGCGGTGGCGGACGATCCCCCAGCTGCAGCACGGCTGCCTGTGCCCTCCGTGCCCTCCGCTCCCACCGGATCGCAGCGTGTGAAAGCCCCGTGGCAGCGAACAGCTCGGTTGCGTTTCTGACATACCAAGTAACCAAACAACCGGTCGTTAAATCAGCTCTTTGGACCGGCGTGGGATCAAACCAAAGTTCGTTGACTGATCTGGTCCCCAGACTGTTCTATTAACGTTTCGGGAATAAATACCTCGGAGTTTGTGTTGGTGGTTTTGGAGCAGATGAAGCGAACCGGCAGCTCAGCACTCTTTTTTTATATCATCAGCAAGTTGATTTAAATTGAGTGTACAGAGTTGGCTGCATTCCTCTCGTGAGCTGCATAAAAAGTTCTCTAAATCGAAGTGCCAGAGCTGTTAAAATCCTGCTGGAAGGATTGTTTCCAAAGACCGGCGAGAGGAGTGGTTAAACTGTTACCGTGGCAGTGTGCGTATGACTTTTGTCCTCTTGGCTTTATTTTCGTGACGGTGAAAGGAGTTTTGCCTTACAGAGGGGAAAAAGCATTAAGGCTCAGGAACGTAAACCACGTTCCCTTTGGCACTACGAGTTCTCCACCTCAGAGACAAAATACGATCAGTGTGCAGAACGAATAGCAGGTGTAAAATATTTTTAGAAAAACCTTGGCGTACGGTGCAGACATCCATCAGCCCCCATCCTTTATTCTGTCAGCTTTCATTCGCTAAAAACAACCTGTATGTTGATGGCTGCACTTTTGGTGGAACTTGCTGCCGTTTTCATTTGGTACTTTAGCGCTTCGGAGACCTGAAATCGGAGATCCTCTCCTCCTCCGAGAGCTGAGACGTCGTTACGTTTAAACGGTCCGTCGGCTCCGTGCCCTCGTGGAGCTCGTTGACGCTGCGTTCCCTCTTCCCCTTAGCTTCGAGATTACCCACAGCGTAAACCAGAAGAGAACTCTGGGAACGTAGTGCCTTAATTATTGTTTAGTGCCCCCACGAGCTGCTTTGAGCAGGTTGTATCAACAGGGCAGGCTAATGCAGTTGAAAAACACCTGGAAACCCACCTTTTTTCCTTGGCAGAGACCTTTGTTCCCTGCTACACCCGTAACCCCTTTGTCTTCTCTGCCTCTCCCACAGCATCCTCTCACGGACCGCGTGACTGCGTCCCGCTGCTCGCTCTGCTGCACCAGGCTGTCACACC